TTCCACACGCCAGCCATTGCCAACGCTCCCATGAGTGCACCAAGAACTCCACGACGTGCACCTTTCTTTCGACATTTAAGGATCACCTTCCTCTCAGCTGGTGTGATGTCGTTCCTGTGCATCGACAAGAATTTAAGTCTGCACACACTTTGAAAAGCCATATTCTAGAGTTACCACCTACATCCAACTTCGCTTGCCCCGACAAAGGCCAAGTCCTTTCTTGCTGAACAACTCAGAGCGTAGGGTACAAATAACTTCGTATTGATCAGCGGACATCATCGTGGTTAAGCTGGTTGGAGTGAGTTAAGATTCTGCTGGAAAATGGAGTTGTGAGGACAGACAACCGAAGCTGGCTGGTTCCGCAAACATTCTGTGACCATGAATGCATGTTCAACCTGACATTTTCTCTTCGTGAACGTAGGGCAACGCTGGCGGTTTTGACTAGGATTCTGTTCTGAATACTGCCCTCGTACCTGTTCTGAATACTGCCCTCGTACCTGTCTCCTCAAAGCTTAAGGCCACATCCCAAGTGAACTGACTGATGGAAATCCGGTGCTGGACAGGAAGAGAGCGACGGACATGAGCTCTTCGTCATGTCGAAGTCGATCTAGCAGCACTTGCATTTGCTCTCGAGCGTCGGGAATGGTCGCGAGCGAGTCGAACCACACGTAAAGGCGATAGTCGACACTGCACATGCCCACGAATAGACCCGTGTCACTACGTTCATATACCATACGCGCTGCAGTAGATTCTTGTAATGAAGATAATCGTTTGCCCAACACTTGAGTCTCATATTGCATTCAACTCTCTTGGCGATACAACGCCGCACCAGGATGTGACATTGCCAATGCCACATTACTATCTGCACATAGATGACGGCATCCATTTCCAATGGTTTTATATTAGTGTAATGAGTGGGAAGCTGATACCGAGATCCCACTAGACAGTAGCTGGACGGCCACAACGAAGACGGCAGCCGATTCATCGCAGTGTACATCTGTCACTTGATCAAACAAACCTAGAGCTATTACAGTACCCCGACTCAGGTGATTACAAAATATCTGAGTGCTATAAAAATTATCGCTACATATTGCGCCCACAGTTGAGAGTGTACTATTTTTTTTAAATGAAAGTACGCTCCACTCAGCTGCTGTAATAGCGACAGTCTTACTGTAGATATAATAGGGTCACTATTATAGGAAAAACCAACACATTCAGAAATATAATCAACCATCACACTTCTTGTGCTCAGATTTCACCGCCATGAACTGAATGACTACAGCTGCGAATCTTCTAACCTGCTTCTCCGCCGCAGCATTTGCTAGTGTAGCACCGCATGGCAGCAATAGGTCTTTTTCCTAGCTTCCAGAACGTGAAAGAAGCAACATGCTGGAAACTTTTATTGAATAGAGAGTAAGTATCCGGTGCTGGAAAGGAAATCCCTCAAAACACTTTGCCAGCGGATGTCATTTTTTTACAGTTCCTTTGACCCCAGCAGTAATATATCACGGTAGGTATTGTCGATTGATTGTCCTCATTTAACCAAATCATGCTTAGCCCGAAGACTCTAAAATTTAGTAAAAGCCATTGTATAAGTTTCGGTGGATAAGATTACCTTTGTCAGCGCAGCATCTACCAGGTGGAGTTGCTACAGAAAATCCTTGAAAGTACTACCCGAAGCCAAAATTGGTTTTCAGATTGATGGATTGTCTCCGGAGCAGACCACAATGTATTTATCAGTTTTGTCAGCTGAAGTCCCCGTTTCTTTGGTTGGAAACCACAAAAAATCATTTCAGGTGGGTATAAATTCGATTCGCGCAGAATTCTATACTTTATTACCAAACATGCTTAACGGAGAGGACAGCGCCACAATAGTATTTGTTAAGTTTATTAACCTATCATATATATAGATATTGTAACAGGTTGATGACTTGGTCAGCCAGTAGAGGTTCGTAGGGGGGG